ATTTATATTTCATATAAGTCATTTATAGTTTTTTCATCAATGAAATTGATCAGCTTATTGGTTTCATTAGTAACTCTATTATCTAAAATTGACCTTGGGTTACATTAGAGTAGTATATTGGAATGCATTTATATGAACGAGTGAATTGGCTGGAATTGGACACACCTTGCCTAGCTATGTGTGAATAAACCATAGGCCCCGGGAACATGTATAAAAAATTGAGTTGATATCTGTATTAAAAGATCTAGTCGATATCTGTATTATATGTACTTATTACTTCTTCTGAAGTAATAAGTAATACAGATGTCGACTCGATTTTCTATACATGTTCCTGGGGCCTATGGAATAAACTATGATCTGACATGGATGCAAATACTGGTAGTTCATTTGACAACAATTATCTATCTTATCCTTCAAAAAGGGGCTTGAAAAGGAGATTGATGAAACTGATATCAACCATACCACCAAATGATAAAATTTTTGTGATAAGTGATTCTTTGGGGGTTTTAAAGTTATCCATTATTGGTGACCAAAATTAGCTGAAAGCATTGGATCGCATGAGTTTTACCTATGGGAAAATAACATGGGAAATATTGTTTTCCAATTTATCTAAAAGGAATCCCTTATTCCTTTAAAGGGGTTAACTGTGTGTCAAAACTCAACATATTGATGCAAGAAAAATTAAAAAAGCAGGGGCCGAGGTGGAAGGGGTTGAAAATCAGGAAAATATTTCAGAAAAAACATGTTGGCTATTTTCTGAGGATTTGAGCAGGTGCATATGTTAGGCCAATGCATTTCCTCCAGGAAAAGTACTGAGAGATGTTAAAATAAATTCTAGTTTAATTGAGACAAAATGCAAACAACCTACCCACATGTTTTTACATAATTTGTGGTCCTGATTTTCCACCCCTTCCACCCCTGCTTTTCAATTTTTGTTGCATCAATATGTTGCGTTTTGACACAAAAATAACCCCTTTAAAGGAATAATGCAATATTGCATCAATTTTGGGTGACCAAAATTAAGCTGAAAGCAATTGATCGCATGAGTATTCCCTATGGGAAAATATCAGGAAAATATTGTTTTCCAATTTATCTAAAAGCAATGCAGTGGTTAATTGTGTCTCAAAACGCAACATAGATGCAACAAAAATTGAAAAAGCAGGGGTGGAAGGGGTTGAAAATTAGGACAACATTTCCGAAAAATATGTTGGTAGGATGTTTGTACTTTCCCTGTCTCAAAGTCCAAATCATCTCTATGAGTACTTTGCTGTAGGTAATGCAATGGCCTAACGTATGCACCTGTTTAAATCCTCAGAAAACAGACAAAATCCAACATATATGGCTGTCTGAAATCTGTTGTGATACTTTCTGTGCTCCTTTGAGACCTGATATTTCTCAATTTTTCAAATATTGCATTTTTAACTTCCTTAAAATTCATCTTGGGTATGTTTTACATCGTAGTTTCACACTCTATGTGTTTCATCATAGAGGTATGGATGAAAAAACCATAAGCTTCATCCATGGCTATACCTGAAATTCTTAAATTTGAAACCTTATATTTACAATTTTTCAAATATTGGACTTGTTAAAAACCTTTAACTTCCTTAAAACCCATCTAAATTATGTTTTACATCTTAGTCCCACACTACAAAACCATAAATATCATCAAAGGGATGAATCTAGAAACTATAGGGGTCAGCCATAGAGTACCTGTAATTTGTAAATTTTAAACCTTATATTTAAAAAATTTCAATTTTTGGACTTGTTTAAAACCCTTAACTTTCTTAAAACCCATCTGAATTATGTTTCATATCTTAGGTCCACACTATTAAACCATTTATAGCATCATAGAGGGATGGATCTAGAAACTATAGGGATCAACTATACTCATACACAAGATCAAGCTGTCAAAAATGTCAAATTTATCAATGAGTCAACAATTTTTTTTCTCTTCTCAGCTCCTACCTCTTCAATGGCTGTGCATCTTTCAGGGTTACTAACCCTGCTATTGGGCACTTCACATGAATTTTTCAACCTCTTACAGTGTCTAATTGAAAAGTTAGGATCAAAATAGTAAGAAAATGCGTCACGAATTTGCCCCCTTGGGAACACACTTTGTAGTTATATTCAAATTCAGTCATCAGTATCAATTATACTGCAAATCATTCATATATACAAAATTTTGCTGAGCATAGTTCAGTCACTTATCTCTCTGATGTTAAGTTTATAGGTGTAAACCACACTTGTCAATTTCGCCGCTACTTTTTCAAGTTTTCTTCATTTCAAAGCTTTAATGAACATGTTGATTGCTATATACATTTTATAAAATCATATTTAGTTGACAAGAGGTATTTATATTTATGGTTTACTTGAACACTATTTTGTTATTGTCAAATAAAGAATACCCCAAAGCATTACTTTTATTTTAGAGTTGGAAAGAAAGAACATGTAAGGGGTGAGTGATTGCATAACCCATACAGCTACTAAACTGACAAAATCATTGTTTTCACTTTTCAGTAAAGGGGAAACTGACAAGTTATTTACAAGGCTTTATTAAAGACCACCTCTAAGCACATATAATATATCATTTGTGTTCTGGGAAACTCCTTTATGATATTGATATATTCAAATAATATTCATATTAGAACAAGAAGGGGGGCTTCATTTACCAGTCAAAACAGACTGCCCTGGCCTCTTTCTAGAGAATATTCAATCAGTAATACATCAATTTGGGTAAAAAGAATTTTGAATATGTTCATCGATTTGATCTTCCAAGGAAAACATATAAGTAGTTTGTTCAAGCTGAATTTTTTGATCAAGAAGGCTTGGACAAAATCAAACGAACAGCAAGGTGAATGAATCATTTCAAAACTGAGTCCCGGGCTTCAACTTGTAATTCAGGACAAGAGGGGTCATATCAAACATTGTCTAGTTTAATGCATTAACTTTGTTGTTTGCACCTATAAACTTTACATCAAATAAATAAGTGACTGAACTATGCTCAGTTAAAGTTTGGTGCGTTTTAGAAGAAAAATTAAGGTTTTGCGTTCAATTATCAAATGTTCCAATTCTTTTTGGACCACCCTGTATAATATGAATGTATGTCACTTACAAACATCAAAATATCTTAGGTTATTTTGTGTGAACTATTTTTTCCCAGAGTGGGGTGTTTTGGGAGGGGGGTGGGAGGGGAGGGTGGCTAATTCCTCAAAAAAAGAACTTCCTACCACTCTGCGAAGCTATCACCTAAGTGGAAGTTTCATCCAAGACTCTCCCCTAACTGAAAATGCTGCCAAACCAACTATACACCATTAACTGAGAATTTTCCTCCTAGCGTAACATATTTTTTTAATAAAAGAATTTTTCCCTAAAATTGCAGTGATAAGTTTTTAGATTTTTTCAACCTACACATTATGTTTTTAGAAAGTATAAAAGGTTCATTTATAAAATGTAGTGAATATCATATCGAAGTGAGGATATTTTTTGCAGATAAATAGATACATGTAGCTTTGTGTTTTAAATACAATAGTCACCCTATAATTCAATACATGTTTGAGCAAAACAATGTAGGTAGTAGTTGATAAATCTTTACAAAAAACGTGACTCACTTCATAAAGGTCTATTTGACACTGCTCTCGTGTGAGTCGATCTTCTTTGAATCATTGATACAGCACATGTATCCATTATCAATTACACAAACTAAATATAAACTGTAGTTATTGGGACATGAAACAGGCTGTTAACACTTGACATATACGTTACATGTATAACCTATACAACTACATGGACCTTTATTGTTATCCTTCTGAACAGAGTCCAGGCAAAGAGAAGCCCTTTGTTCAAAATAGTATTTTGATCTTTCTATTGATCGTTCTTTTGTCTGTCTGTGCAGACAATCACGTCAAGGGAATTTTCAAAGGATGAGTCTGGGAATGAGTCTGGGTATCGACTTAGAAAATATTGAAAATTGTAATGTCTGAAAAACCAAGTCAGTCACACATATTATTAAACTTCAATATCTCATCCTTCTTCTGAGATTACAAAAATATCAATTTGTATCACAATTGATGAAGAATTGATGAAGACAATGCATATCACTTTGCCAGAATTGAAAAAATCAATGGCAAATATTAAATGAATAATTTATACAAAAAGTTATATATCCTCCAAAACATTGCTTACTCTCTTTGTATAGACATTGAATGGTATTTCTGGATAAGTGAATTGGTGTTTTTCTGGGTAATCAAGGGATTTATTTAATCACTCAAAGTTACTGAGCATCCAGTTTTGACACTTCAGTTGTGTTGGTGAAGTTACACATATTTCAGTCAAATTCATGTTGAGCACAACCTTTTGGTTTTAATTGTATAATTTCTATACATGACCCTGGTGATGAAGAGTCAGAATCAATCAAAAACTCATTGCTCATTGTGAAAATTAAGTGTGAAGCACTGTGATATTTCTTACATCAAACTGCTGCAAACTTGTTTTCCCCCCTTCAAATTAAACTGGCGGGAAATTCAAAAATTTGAAAAAAATGTAATCCATAAATATATTCCAAAAATATGATTTTCTTTTAAATTCTTCACGGGTCATACATTCTCTCTTCTTTGTATGTCATATATGTTGCCATTGTTTTTTTTCTATGATAATGACTTTTTTGTTTTGTAAGGATACTTATTCTGATTCTTGACTTATGCATCAAAACTCATGAAAAAGTAAATATACTTATCAAATATAACTAGGTCAGTAATAAAAACCACATTTCACATACATTTAACTGAGGAACCAAAAGGGCATATATCTGGACTCATCCTTAGCCATTTTGAATAATACTTAGGCTGCTTTTAGTTAGGTATTTTTGGCTATATAGCAATCAATGCCTCTTTACCGACTTTTTTTCATATTTGAAGTAATTCTTCTTTGAGGTGTATGATATCCATTCAAGAGTATATTTCCCATAATGTCTATAGATACAATATTTCAATATTTGTCCTTAGGTCCGTTATTTGGTGAAGAGTGAGGACCGGTATCGAGCTGCATTGGCATTACAAATTACCAACCTGTGGACAAGATCAATGTTTGCACACAGCTTAGGCATGTCAGACCTTCCTCAGGTACAGTGCTCTTCAAATATCAAATAAGAAATATATCAATTTCCTATAATTTTACAATCGTTGTCATTGTGAGGGTATATTTTGTTGCTGTTTTGATGAACACGTTAAAGTTCATTAACCCCAAAACAATGACAGGATATGCCTCTAACAAAGGATATTTTGTATAACCTGATATATGTGTCATTGTCATGTGGAGTTCAAAAATGTATTTTTGGATAAAATTATAGCATGTTTTAGTACATAAAAGGCTTTGAGGGCTTATTCTCATATCACCCAATTCCTGGATGTTATTCTTTAATGAATGATTCAAGAACAATTAATCGTTTTTTGCTTTTCATGTGCCACTAATAAACATTTGCGTGTTTCTATGTCAATAGTTTATGTTCTTTCCTCTTTTATTATTTCATCAATTTAACCTCTTTCAACTTCAACAATTCATGCGAAAAACATGAAACCGTGATGCCTATTTCTGATATCCTGTTTTGACTACAAAGATTATTGATCTGAATGTATAGATTTTTGAGGACTTTGTTTTTCTACATTTGCCCACTCTTTATATATAATGATCTATCATTGTTTGAAGTGAGTGCATAAATGTTGCATCAATATTTGCTATTGGATTATTCCTTTATTGACCAAGTTTTTGAATTTTGGGAAGCTACATGAACAGTGTAAGGAAACCATTATCATGGATTTGATATCCCTTGCATGTTTTTGAATTTTGCGAGTTTTTCAAAGTGTCTAGTGCATCTTATCTTTAAGGTTTTGATCATGTATCAGATATCTCAATTGCATGCCATAGGGGCCTGTACGTGCTGTTATTAAAAAATTTTCAATGTATATCAATTGAGTACTGATTTCTTCTGTCAAAATGAACTGTTTTGGAGTTTCAATTTGTGTAACAACTTTTCAATACCATCTTACCAATGGAGACTGAAATTGCTTAATATTTGATTGCTTCGTCAAATTCTCTTCATACAAAAGGGAATCATAAAATGTGACACAAACATGAATTTTGTCTGGAATAAAGTGAAACCTGGAAGAAATGTAAAAAATTGAAAGTCAACACTGTAATTATCTATGTTCTATGTTTTAGTCAGTTGCGTTCTTCAGTGCTGTTGACATAGATAAGTGCCTTAGGAAAGAGGTGCATCAAGACTGTAAAACTCCATCCAACCCACATGGCTTGGAACAGGGCTATGGGTTGCCTAGTGGAGAAGCCCTAGATATATACAAAATCCTCAAACTTACAAACTCAAGTCTGACTAAATCTAGACAACCAAACAAAAGTGACTTAAAAGCTAAATGTGCAGGCCTGAAAACTCAAGATAGGGTCTTGGAGGCTAAAGACCATGACTTGGAAATTAATGATGATGAATTTGATACTAAGAGTGGTGACTTTGAAACTAAGGATGGAGGCACAGAACCAAATAAAGGTGATGAAGAGACCCGTAATGACAATATAGTTGATTTGAATCAGGACATTTCAGAGATATTTGAAGAGCTTGAATCTCAAGTTCGGTAAAATTTGTTACATTTTTTCAACCAATTATGAATTCAGGACTGTACCTCCGGCTCGTATGTGACAATTGGTATATAGGTGATCTCTATTTTTGTCTAAAGAACTAAAGATCTGACTCATTTGCCATGATGTTTTTGAAATAAATACTTGTATCAGAAAAAAGTGTGACTGTCAGAACTTTTTCATATTTATATTAAATATGTTCTGAGAGGCTCTATTTCCTCCTTTATCCAAAGTACATGTAGTTTTCAATGTTGTCAATGCATTGTTCTGCCTTGAAATCATTGTTGAAATAAACTGGATGCTCCTTTGGTTGACATCTTCTAGAGTTGCAGTACTGTTACCCTGGCATCTTACATGTACCTCAGAACTAAATTATTTGTTGCTTGACATTATTTGGCCTATAGATATGGTATTGATAATATTAAATTTAAATATATAAGTACAAATGCCAAAAGGGAAGGGTGACTAAAAACAATGTCTAACATCCCCTCCCCCCCCCCCTCCAATCGAGAACCAATATCACAATCCAGGACCAGAACACCAAGGGACATTTCATTCATACTGAAGTCATTACAATACATGTTGAAGAAAAATTGAAAAAATTGATAGCCAATACTCATAACATCAAAAATAGTTGTAGATACGAGTACTCATAAAAGATAGAGTATTCAGTCTCAAATGATGTGGGATAGATTAAATCCAGTCTCGAAGTCCATAGGCAATTCCAAGGGTCCACATCCGTTCGCAAGGCCGTCATCCATAAAACACAACAATTCACAATGGTCATCAGGAGAAAACGATGGCTGGTTTCGATCCCTATTTCTTAACCATTAATGCCAAAGCCGGGATCCACCTCAAAAGGTGCCAATTGAAAAAGTCGTGAGTTCATTGCCAATTTATTTTACCATTCCTACATCCTTCAGCATCTCAAGTGGCAAAATTTGAAATTTAAAAATTAATGACTTGTACTTTTCAGCAAAGCTTAGAAAGGATTTCTTAAGTTTTTTACAAGTATAACCTTGACCTAACAGCTTGAATCAAGTATATAAGGTATTGTAGGCCTAATTCAATTCCATTTTCTACATGTTCCGGTTCATAAGTTATATTTTAAAGCACATAGAAGTAAAGAATGTTGGTGGCGTATGTCAGCAATGTATACATGTATTTTAATATCCGCAAAACATTTGAGACACAATGATTAGCTTACTAGGTGACAATGGATATTGATACATACCATGGTATCTGAAAACATATTTAAATTCTCAGTAAAATCACCATCGACTATTTCGAACAATGGGGGAGAGCAGATCCTTTTTACAAATCTCAATGTTTTCACAAAGGATTAGTATCGATATGGCGAACTAAATTCAACTTTGTTTTTCTCTTAAAGCAATTACTAGTATTGAAAACATTCTGTAAAAACACGGTCCTTCATGTTATGGTCGCAGATGAACAACTATTTAATGCGTAATTATTTAAATATAGTTTTTATAACTGTTCTGCTAACACTTTTTGATTTTTAGTGCAATTGTTTTTTGTTCCTTTCTACCAATTCTTGAGAATGAAATAGAATATCTTTCCGAACATTGTTGGAACAAAATATAGCATATACAACACTTTCTTAGACCTCTCATTATTATAGTTACACAAGGGAAAATTTGGTTGATTATACAAAAAGTATTCAAAAATTAAAACAAAAACCCCCCAAATAGATGAAAATATAATTAACCTTTTATTTCATTAACAAGATACTTTTTTTAAATAACCAAACTTTCCTTTGTACAATTACAATATTGAGAGACATAAACACGTCGTGAGCATGTCGTTTTGTTCCAATGAGGTTCGGATAGATGTTTGGTTTCATTCTGAACATGATACCACGAACAAAATAAGTGCCTGATGTGTTTTCAAAAACAATAAAGAGAAAAGTCTTTTTCAAACTGTTACTGGTAAAATGTTCAGAATTTTTTTATGACTGGTTTAAGAGAAACGTGTACAATTCAGTTCGCCATATAGATACCAATCCTTATTATTCAACGGGAGGGGTACTTATTCGCAGTTAAGATGAACCAGCACATGTTTGGCAATCATCGGAAACCAATACGAAGTTACTGAACAAGGGGCGGACGCCCTATACGCTCAAGATATTCGGTTTTCCATTATAACTTTTTCGAATAGTATGAGGTAAGGAATTATAATTACTACACAGACATTTTTTATGATTAATGCATTCTCGACCGGTCTGGAATACTATATTGACCGCCACTATGACGTCACATATTGCTCAGGTCGATATAGTAAAATGAATGCCTTCTAAACTAGCACTAAAACCCCTAGAACTGGCGACAAGGTGGTAATAATATATATAGGGTGTCTCAAAAAATGTACCCAAAAGTATATCAACACCATTGACAAACCAATCAATATTTTCAGACATTTTTTGCTTGGTCTTGTAGATAAAAGATGAAAGTTTTTTCCCCTATACACAGTTTTTAATTCAGTTTTGCCTTTTTTGATACTTTAACCCGTTACCTTTTACACCACATATTCAATGTAACCTCATTTTCGATGACAGTCTGCATCCTTACTACTACATTGTTCATCACATTTAATATTTCTGGTGGAATGTTTTGATTTCTGTTCGGATGCTGCTCTTAAGTTGTTCTAGGTCTCTTCGCTTGGGTTTAGCATAAAATGGTCCTTCAAGAAGCCTCGGAGAAAACAGTATGGGCCGTCAAATATGGTGAATAGGGAGGCACTTACAATGTCTTACAGCCCCCTTATACATAAAGGTCAGAGGTTCAAGAAACTGCATTGGCTGGGATTCTTGTGTAGCTTTTGTTGTGAGTATCAATTTGAGACCACTGTGTTTTCATTTGGACATCACTTGGTCTCCAGGCTAGCCTACCTAACTCTGGAAGATAACTCCTGAATCATTGCAGATAATTGACCTGATTATCTGTGTTTTTCTGCCATCGTCATCCTCAAACATCTTTCTCTGGCTAATTGAAGGAGTGTTTTAATGCTCATTCCAAGCAAAAAGACCAAGAACAACTTAAGGGCAACATCCAAAGTGATATCCAAAACATTCCACCGGAATTATTATCAAATGTGATGAACCATGTAGCAGTTAGGATACAGGCTGTCATCGAAATATGAGGTTACATCGATTATGTGGTGTAACAGGTAAAGGGTTAAAGCATCAAAAAGACAAGACTGAAATAAAAATGGTGTATTGAGGAGAAAACGTTCATGTTTACTCTACATGACCATGCAAAAAATGTCTGAAAATATTGATTGGTTTATCTGTGCTCTTGATATACTTTTGAGACACCCTGTATGTATATTCTGCGATTTTCTGTCAGTTGCCTGAGGATTTGAACAAGAAACTAGTTGGCAACGAAATGAAATCATCTTATGTTTTTATTTGAATTTCATTATATATAATTTTTAAAATCTATATAATATATTATATTTATATATATACATATATTATAAAAAGATCAATATGTACAAACAATCAAACAAATAAGCACAAAGCATAAATACTTATTACCAACGTGACAGGCTACCGCGTTGTCGTTTGTACACATAGTATATCCGAGTATAGCAGTTGTACAAGAATACGAAGAATAAACCTTCTCCAAGGTTGATATATTCAGAATAATTACTTAAAATGTCCAGTGAGTGTACCCTCCCCAAGGTTGATACAACCAGTTATGATAATCATCTACGTATGACATACACATAACAATAATAATATGAGCATGAGTCAATAAATAAATAACGATAATATATTACATGTCTTTTTTTGGGGTGTTGAATGGGGGTATTGCTATATCCTGCATTCTAAATCTGAAGTGGAATCTTCTGTGCAAGCACATGAATATTTTTAAAGTATACCCCTCCCCCTTCTTAGTATTTTGATCCGCCCCTGTCAGAATAGATCATTGCTTTTAGATTTGTATACATCTTATATCGCAGATCCTTGACGACTTTAGGCACGTCTAAGACGACGATTAACACCACAAAAGCGATTACTATAAGCAATGCTGAACTTCCAACCACAACTGCATGCTTGGCCTCTTCTGGTGGGAACTCAATCTTCTTAGCGCGCTTATACTCTGGTTCCGATACACCTGAAACACGAACGGTATGTGTTAAATGGTTCTGGACTGAAATATTCTGTATTAATACCTCTCAGTGAGTGAATGATAAATCGTATTATTACCACCTTGCCGGGCCAGTTCTAGGGGTTTTAGTGCTGGTTTAAAAGGCATTCATTTTACTATATCGACCTGAGCAATGTGTGACGTCATAGTGGCGGTCAATATAGCCGGTCAAGAATGCATTTAACGACCGGCAATTTCCCCCGGGAAATCATATATCGTTACAGTGCGTAAGGTTTTCTTGCTGTTTCAGGCCTGGTCATTAACGGTGGTAATAATACTTTTTTCATCAAGAGATTTTATTGCCATTAATCAATTTAAGTACATATCATACATGAGGGACCCAATCGCCAGTGGCATTATAGGTGTCCCTCAATGTAGTAATTACAATTTGTATACATGGTTTATACACAATTATATATTAGAAGAAAAATAAAAAAGTATCTGCATTTTAATTGAAGTGTGGGGGGCTGCTGTCTCTGCCTATTAGGTCCTAGAAACAAAGATATAGTAGTGTGAGTAGGGAAACGAGGTTCGCGCCATAGTCTCCCATGACTAAAACATGTGACTGATCTGTACCTTCTATTTGGCACAAAGAAGACTTCATGATATGCTACAGTATGATGTAAGAGAATGAAACAAGGGGAGAAGAGCAGTAGAGATAAGGAGTGGTAGGGCTGAGAACAAAGACAAAGCTTCCAAATACATATATCTATGCATGCTCGATAAGAAATAAGCCCACCACTGATAAAAGATTGTCAATTTGTTCTAATTGTCAATTTGTAATAATACTAATAACGTCATTTCTGCGGGCAATATAGTGAACTATTGGACCGAGGGCCTCGTCACGTCGTCGTCGTCAGATCGCCACGTCGCAAAGAAAAGTGTGGCGTACTTCTGATTCACCTACAGACTTTTAAACAAGTTTTGCTTTAGGTATTAAGTTTAGGTATTTAGTGCTTTTTAATAGTTATAGTCTACAATTTTGGGTGAGTGCATTGTTGACTGTGTGGTAATATCGTATTTGGTCAATTGGTTAACATGGCTTTAATGGTAGATTTTTTATTGTCTACTAACCTTCGCAATATGGCACGGGTGTCCACTTTCTTTCGGGAAGGCAAGTGCTCATTTTATTTTTTGATCCGTCATCTTCCCCAGTAAGTGTATAACCCTCGTGGCATTCGTAATGCACTGCTGAATATAGCAGGGTTCCGCTTGACTGCACTATAGATGCACGCATGTCTACTGGCCATGAGCCACAATCACCAAACGAACATGGAGTATGTATTCCCCAATCTTCTGCATCAGAACACGAAATTGTTTCTGAGTCGTTCCCAGTTCCGCCAATGTAATAGTTTGTGATACACTTGTATGTTACAAGATGTTTTTCGTCAAAAAAGCTTCTGGTGACGTTTGCATTCACGTCTTCCGGTGGATTCTGGCAGCTGATTGGAAAACAAGAGTCACGTGATGACCACGTGCCAGTGGCAAGACATGTAATGTTATTGCTTACTGCTCCATTTAACAAGGCAGATCCCGGCTTGCATGTATAGAGTGCCTCATCTTTCGTTGAGTTATTTAGAAGCAATATATCCGCATAGGGATCTGGAGGATTTGGCCCACAAAACACACTAGTACAATTTACATGTTTGCTCCAAGTTGCATCAGACTGACATATAATCGAATCATTGCTAGCCCCCTGTGTTAGAGTGCCAGGGTGGCATTCATACATTGCTTTTGAGTTATACACCGTATCTACGTATGTAACATTTGAATTTTGATCTATGGGTGGAGAACCGCATGATACTGGAATACACTGGATATCTTCGCTCCAGGTTCCATTAGACAAACATTTTATGGTTCCTGACGATGAACCGCTAGAAAGTGAAACGAACCCAATGCTACACAAGAAATTAGCCATAGCATTGTAAATCAAACTGTCAAAAGTTACAGTAACGTTCTGAGATATGTTTATACTTCCACATGATATTGGAACACACGGTGTATGTGCTGTCCAATTGCCATCAATAGTACATGTGACATTGTCTTCTTTATTGTTTGTGTCATTCAAAATATGGCCTTCGAAGCATTTATACACGACTACACTTCCAAAGGTATTATCACCAACTGTGGAATTTGCATTGGTATCAATTGGTGGTTGTCCACACGATATTATTTCACACAATGAGTGATTTGTCCAATGTCCATATGAATCACAATATATCGTTTCTTCATTCATCAGAGTTCCACCTATAAGGTAGCCAACATCACAAGTGTATGTTATGTTTGATCCATATAAGTTTTCACCCGTTGTCATGTTTGAGTGCACATCAGTTATGGGACTACCACATGATATTGGCAAACACATCGTATGATTGCTCCAATCACCATCTTCCTGACAAGTGATTGTTTCTGATGCATCCCCATTGCCTCCGATTAAATATCCATCACTACAGTTATAGATTGTGTTTGATTCGAAAAGGTTATCAGTTGTAAACATTGTTGCCTTCGGATCAACAATGGGATTCCCACATGCCAATCGTACACATGGCGTATGTAATGTCCAACTTCCATTGGACTGACACGTGATTACGTCTTGAGAATAAGTGATACCTCCTATAAGATAACCTGAATTACATATATATGTTACGTTGGACCCAAAAAGGTTATTTGCGGGTGTCAATGTAGAGTTGTTATCAACTGGAGGGTTGCCACATGAGATGGGCAAACACATGGTATGATCTGTCCAATTTCCATTTTCTTGACATGTGATGGTTTCTTCTTCATCGGACACCCCTCCAATCAAGTGGCCTGTGTCACAAGTGTAGGTAATATTTGCTCCATATAGGTTATCACTTGAAGATGTATTAGAATTAGAATCTACTGGAGGATTACCACAAGAGATTTTCATGCACTGAGTATGGATTGTCCAGGAGCCATTGTGTCCACACGTTATACTTTCTGATTGGCCAGTCATTCCTCCAATCAGGTACCCGGTATTACATGTGTATATCACATTTGATTGGTACAAATTATCACTCGTTGTCATGACAGCATTTGCATCAACAATGGGGCTTCCACAAGAAACTCGTTGACATCCTGCATGATTGGTCCAGTTCCCATCTGCTTGGCAACTAATGATTTCTTCCTGAGCTCCGGCAGTTAAAAAACCATCATGACATGTGTACGTAGTGTTTGATCCATATAAGTTATCACCAATTGTCAAAATAGCATTCGGATCGGATACAGGGATTCCACAAGCGATTTTCTCGCAAAAAGTATGACTGGTCCAACTGCCATTTCCTTGACATGTTATATTCTCAGACTGGTTAGAAGTATTGCCGATGTAAAAGCCTGTGTTACATGTGTAACTTACAACTGATTCAAACAAGTTATCGATGGAATCCATTGTCGAATTGCTATCTACGGGGGGATTGCCACACGAAATGCGCTGACAGGTGGAATGGGTGCTCCAATTGCCATCGCCTTCACAATAGATTACATCGAACAATTCATTCGAGCCACCAACACTAAACCCATAGTTACACGTGTATGTTACGTTTGATTCGTACAAGTTGTCACTTAGCGTTAAATTTGAGTTTGAATCTGTAATCGGCACACCACATGATATTCTTTCACAGGGTGTGTGGGTGGACCAGTTACCGTCCGCAAAGCAACGAGTTACTTCAGAATGAGACCCATTCAGAGTTACATAGCCATATAGGCAATCGTATGTAGTATTGCTGAGGTACAACTCAGATGTCCAAGACACATTGGCAAAGGAATCGTCCACGGGCGTTCCGCATGATATTTCCAGACAAGCTGTATGCGATGACCAGTTGCCATCTGCTCCACAAACAATTGACTCTGCCTGACTTCCATTTCTAGATATTCGATATCCGACATTACATGCATAGTTTGCAACCCCCATATATGTTGTTGATGTATATGTTACATTAGCATTTGTATCAACTGGTGGTGCATCGCATGGTGCTCGTACACAATGGGTGTGAGGGGACCAATACGCCGTGTCTAAACAGGTAATCGTTTCCTCACTTGGACCATCATATCCAATACCATACCCAACTACACACGTGTATGTAACATTGGATTCATACGTGTAATCAAAATCAGTCACATTAATGGTGGCGTAAGGGTCTGACCATGGCTCACCACATGAAAGTTTAAAACAGTGTTGGTGGGCAGACCATGTGCCATCCTCTCGACAAGTTATGTTCTCGCTAATGATTTGGTTCATAGCTAGTATGTGCCCAGTATAACACGTGTATGTTATATAGTCCCCGTACCGCCCCTCGATGTAGGAGAACATGGCATTGGAATCATTAACGGGATAGCCACACGATCTTGCCATACACTGAGTATGATTTGACCATGTCCTGTCACTTTGGCATTGTACATCTTCACTTTGGCTACCATTACCAGATATAAGATAACCAGAGAGACAATCATATCGTACAATGTCCTCAAACAAGTTGCCTAAAACGGTTATATTTGCATTTGAATCCGAATCATATGCACCCGGACAAGATGTCTTAAAACACTGTGCATGCGATGTCCATAGTCCATTTGAATCACACGCTACTACATATGATGGAGCACCGCCATCTCCCCCTACGAGATATCCAGGTAGACATATAAATGTTACATTCGAGGCAAATTCAGTTGCAGTCCCAATCTGCGTTGCATTATTATCAACTTCCGGTAGACCACAGTACTTATGGGAACAATAAATGTGAACCTCCCACTCTCCGTCGGCCATACAGCGGATAGTGTTTTGTACTATAGTACTAGATCCGTTTATTCCATAGCCTGCACTGCAAGTGTACGTCAGATTGGTGTTATAGATCGTTAATTCTTTAGGAACATTGCTAATATCTGCGATTGAAGTGTTATCTGAATCAACTGTACTCATGTAGTCCAGTGGCGGTTGGCCACATGACAGTGGTTCACAGGGTGTATACGATTCCCAGACGGATGTCACAAGACACGTGATATTACGAGATAAATAGCCCATAGAACTATATCCTACTCTACAAGCATAGTTCACCGAACTTCCATACGTTGTATTTGTAAATGTAAGCTGCGCATTCGAATCAGGGGGAGGCGATCCACAGTCCTTAATGTAACACGGTAATGGAGTCTGCCAAATCTCACCACGGCAACGGATGTACTGGAAGTCGTTATTTAATGCGTCAAAACGGTAACCTATGTCGCATTGGTATTCGTATGTTTTGGAATATGTGTTGATGGTACTTAGCGTCTTGGTGGCATATGAAACGTCTGGAGGTACGCCATTACAAGTATAAACTGGAATACAAGATAATGAGTGTATGAAATAGCCCGATGTATTAAAAGAGCACGAACGGCACCATTGGAAACTTCATAAAACACACTGATAAAGTACAGAACTTACAGTACAATACGATATCATGCGATAACATGTATGAATATTTGTGAGACAACAACAATAGCTATCAATAAGCGATGACGTAACAAGAAATAGTTAAGGATCCAATCAGTTCAGTTCATGTGTTGAATGTTTTGTTAATGAATGAATTCACCGTGGTATTGCTAGGATCATCACAAGTATTTTTTCAAACGCATCTACTGGATGTCATCAAATTCCATCGACAATTTCAACATTGAAATAATTCAACTAGCTTAAGCTGACTGTAAGGTCAAATTTGGTCTCTGTCTCTGCAATGGCTTTGCCATGCGTATTGTTAGTTCTGCTTTGAATTCATTAATATACTTACTTTTCTGGCATAGTATTCGTTTCTTATCAGACAATTTTTTGCCTTGCCAACCACCTGCTCTCAACATGTAAATGGCTTTTTCTGTTTCAGGCTTCAGATCATCAGACCAGTCGACCCACGTTGAAACTGGACTGTAGTCTAACCACATTCCATCGTCCCACGTATTCGATTCTAGCGGTACTATCCTCCCTCCAACGAATGCATCTTTACCACTGGAACTATATCACAATACTGTATAAGCAAAATAAAATTTAGGCCTATACCTTTTTTACGCTTATTTTTGGAGCCACTCAGTAAAAGTATGATTTCTCTGCACCACGATGTTCAATCAAAATCATTTGAGTATCTTTGTTGTGTTCCTGAGACACCTGGGCACCAGGGAGTGGCTCCACAAAAAAGAAAAAGGTTGCAGGCCCTGTTAACACTAAATAGCTTTCCTACTTTCACTCATGTTGTTCTACAGAATATGAAACGATGAATAGCTTACAGTCCAATCCATGGGTTTGGTAACCAGGAGTCCATCAGTTATAAAGCTTGTTATGTTAAAGCTAATTTATGTTCGGCGATTGAAAAACAAATCATCAAAGCCATGAATTTCCGAACGCTTGTAACTTCCACTTTCCGGCATGGAGGGAGTGTACCTACTTTCACGCGTGCTTTTTAGCACAGTGAAACGCGGAACACTAACTTATTTTTCAACAATTCATATAACACTCACTCTAATGATACTTACTCTAGCACATGCTCTGCCACAAGCGAGTGTTGGGCACTGAGTATAACCGCCATCTTTCCAAGCCCGGCTGACTCACAATAGTTCTCGCCTTCTGCGTACAACAGGTCTTTATCTACGAGATAGTAACTGACTGAAATACATATACCGAATTGTGTTTAAGGAGAGATATGATAATTATTCACTCCATCCATAGGAATTCCCTTTTACAGGTATATGTACCGATATATAGAAACATGCATACTTAATCTAACGGATATTGAAACTACTAGATAGTTGGAGGATTATACGTTATGTACGGTATGGTGAAGTGCATTGTGCAGCATATCAGACGTGTTTTAATATTTACGGTTCAATTGTATAAACCGCCCCAATATCTTACCCTTTTCATCACAATTCATCCCAACTAGGAATTCTCCACAATGGCAGACTTCGTACCCTTCTGGATAATCATCGGAACAGGTGTGTGAATTCGGTCCCTCGCATGTAACACTGTTTGAACAAAAGGTTATGTCATCCAGAGCACAGCGTACCTCCCTTATATAAATCAACAGTACCAGGCCAAGATAGTGAATTAACGACATCATGAGACTCTTTAGTTTCGATCCGGATGTTTAATAAATGGATGAATTCGGGCTACTAGGTCCTTATCTGCTATCGTGTGTGAATCTGTTGTCCTTTGCTCATGTTGCTGACACTGTTTAGTAACTATCACCATTTTTATCTGAAAGAAAAGTGTTTTATGTCGATGGTGTGTATATCAGGAGATGGATGAGAACCCACTATGTTATGTTTTAATCTACGTTTTTATATACAAGTTCATCCATGAGAAACTACTAAGCGATGTTTTACCACGATATCACATCACACATCATAGCAAAATCCTTTCACGGGAGATGGTATTTAGAGATATTAATTTCTCAAAAAAATTATTCGAAATACAATTAATCAGACGAAATGTCGAGACGTAGTGATACTAGAGGTATATATTGTATGGTATGGTCAATGTTTCTACGGAAGGGAAAGGACCATATTCAGTCCAAACGTCGAAATAAATGAGTACTTCCAAATCTCCAGCGGAAAATACCGGGTATAACATCGTAAACTTCTGGTGCTACGACATAGAGAATGGGATGTGCTGACGTGTCGCAAAAAGGTCGCGCACGCATTGTTACACATTTTCGCTTTTAAATACCACAGAATGTGACGTTTTTTGAGAAAAATGTACACATATGGAAATCCTTTCGTCCTCCACATTTGCCTCTATATCTCAAAATATTTAAGGCGAATAACTCTGATATCGTATATGTATTAACAATGGGATAGGAGCATCATAAAACACGAATCAATTGATATTTTAGGTGAAATAAATATACGTGTTGCTGTGCTTGAAAATAGGCGAATGGCGTAAATTAGACCTATTTTAATGAATTTTGAAAACCTTTCGTCCTCCACTTTTCCACATACAACAGAAAACGCATACTTTTGCGAACAAAATCAACCATATATTAATAAACTAGAGTTTAAGAGCAAAATAATCATGTATGATTTATTAAAAATTGATCTCGTACTTTTTGTTTAAAGTACACCTGAAAAGTTGAAGGTAACAAAAAATCAGCAAAAAGGTCGCTGTCAACAGATTCTATTTTTCAAACTCTATGACGTCACAATATGGGACGCTTACTAAAATTCATCCTTTGAAATAAAACTTCCATCTACCTTTATCAATACGAAAAATAAGTATAATAGTCATATATTGTTTGAGTTATGAGATTTTAAAGACGAAGAATAATTTGCCAGATGTTTTGGTAAAAAACTATTTTTTAAAAAAGAACGCGCAAGAATCGTGAACGGAGTGTAGTTGATCTAAAAACGTCATCGAAAAAGCTTTAAAATGATATATAACTTTAATTAGAATATTATCTTATATATAATCCGGGGAATCAAAGTTACATTCACGCGATACCCTTCAAAAACAAATGCGCCACCTTTTTGTGACACGTCGCTAGATACTGATAACAGTTACCGATATTGATCGGTTAGCGTGCATAGTCAGGCTTCTTGTGCATTTACGGACGATCCCAAACCTGTATTGCTTACATGTAGCTGAAGTGTTTTGTCAATGTCGCTCTATTATTATTCAATAGTTACATTATATCTACCACTTGTGATTATTCTCTTTTACGTTTCACATTCTACTGCCTATATTATCAGCAGATCATTTTTTATTTATGATATATCGAGAGATTTGTTGAAGATGATTCATGCTAGCGCATCCGTTCGTCCGTCCGACTGTCTGTCTGTACGTCCGAAAGTTTTCGACAAAATCATTATAGCTATCTCCTTCAAATGTTCAGGAATAACGGTAGAAATATATAGTAGTAAATAATTAGTTTGCCATTTAGGCCTTTTTAATTTTGTTTTTAAGTCTTCTCTACGCGATTCCAGCCAAAACCTATAGTTCCACCCATCGGTGGGGACAAACACATGTTTGTGTCCTTGTATGTAGCTTGAATGACAATAATGCATACCGGCCATATGATATATATCTTCATAAGATAACCAAATAAGGTGTTGTCGCATAATACTAGTAATCAAATCTCGTGTGTCAAAAAATGTAATGACATTTTCAAATGCTTCATATTTTTCTTCAAGATTACGATTGAAGTTGTATGAAATCAACTTCGGAAACACTTGTATTTGTAATAAATTGAAGAAATATTATCATTGTAACGATTTCCGTTGAATGTAATGACATTTTAAATTTTCACTTTCCAGGTACAGATTTTAAAGTTGTAATGAAATCAAATTAGAAGATATTTGCATAAAAATAGGCCATGAAAGCACTGTTGTAATGATTCCCGTTGAGCGTAATAAAATTATGAAAATCCTCTGTTTCTGACGCCAGATTGTAACATAATGAAATTGACTTCTATTTTAATGATTGTCATTGAATGTAATATAAAATTTTAAAATGCCACATATTTGTCAGCTGACTGTTGACGTTTTAAGGAAATTAATATTTGTAATAAATTCAAAGAATACTACCATTATAACGATTTATGTTGAATAAAACAAGATCATCTTTTTAGAAAATAAGCCTTACATTTTTTTAAAAAGTGACAAGGTGGGGTCCTAATCCATACTTTATCAGAGAGTGGGATTGATATTTTACTATAATGGGGACGTCACTTTAAACACGGGGGTAAATCAGACCCGATGATGCAATGAGCTTGCTCGGCGGTATCATGACTGTGTAACGGGTCTTAATGTATAACTGTGCTCGGCGGTAGGTTCAAACAACGCGCGCGGATCCTCAAAGCATGTGCTCATGGTATATTCGTGTTTTAACACCCGTGTTAAAGAAAACATATTGTTTTAAATAAAAACCACTGTATTTATACCCAGAAAGAACTAATCGTGAAAGATATGACTGTCTAAAATCACTTGCCATACTGCACATGGACCTTTCAAAATTCCTCATAATCTGCCGAGGGAAGATTGGGGTACCAGTGTAACGATCCATATTGAATGTAATGGTTTTTCAAAGTAGCATGAATTTTATCAGATTAATGCAGTAATTTTAAATTGTACTCGAAGTAATGTCATATAAGAACTGACAGTATACTTCAAAATGTAATTACTCTAATCTGGCTTCGTGGAAATATCCAAATCTATTCTGATATTTTGTACAGTAGGATGTTTTTATGAATAATATATAATAGGACGAATTAAACACATTTTGGACAAAATTAAGATAACATCGAAATGCTAAAGGTAACACACGGCTTAATTTCAACTATTTTCAAATACTAAGATTTTATTGAAGAATATTTAAATTTAAAAAAAATATTTAAATTCAAGTAGACTTATTTATTTAACATTACTGATAAGTAGCATGCTTAATTGTTCTACAACAATTTTATTTCAATATTGATGAGTCACTCTTTATGGTTCCATGTCATTTTTGTACTCTATACAGTGCCGATTTGGTCCACTTAGCTTTGAATGAGTTGAGGACCATTGGTATTTCTTTTCCTAAATTGAAAGTGAAGCATAAATCAACCATTAATGTTTTGAATTTTTGTTTATCTTAAAAAGCCCAAAGAGACTTTTAAAATTAGCCATTTTCTTAACATTTTCCTTGTACAAATAGACCAGAAAGACGGATTTGAATTTAACACATTTTCCTCTAATCTCGGGCACATTTTTGGCTCTTCTAAGGAAAATTAAAATGTTTGTGATAATGCTGTGTTTCCTGTGTTGATGGTCATATATGTTCAATATATATTTTATATATATATTATATTTTTTAACTTACCCTATTTTCCTTGTTCACGTCATTGGGAGTCACTGCGTCCTTATCATGTTTTCTTTTGTCCCAATGATTTATCTCAAAATGACTTGTGGAATATCAATTCATAATTGAATGATATTTTTATATTCATCAGTGTTTTTGTTTCCTTTTATTAAAGTATAGATAACGAATTTATGAGGTTTTTCGCTTTTATTATCACGTTTTCCTTTCCGTTCGTTATTAATTATACTTTCCATTACACAAATCAAAATGAATAGATGCCATATCTGTCACTTGGTATTATATGGAATCATATGCACTTGGGTGTTTCAAAAAGCACTTTTGTTATTAGAATGATTAAAAATATTGTTGTACACCGTACTTCCATTGCATATCGCTACTTCTGAACTCAGTTAGGTATACAAATAGAGCGATTACCAAATTAACGTTATGAATCGATCAATCTGTTTGCACCATTGAATTTTCATTAGGAACGATAGAGATGTGTTAAAACATCGTTCTGTAGTTGTTTCTCATTTAATTGCTTTTATTCTATTGACTCTTCGTGCTGTCCTTTCTCAATACAATTATGATGAATTGTTGTCAAGCAACCATTGATCAGCAACAATTATTAAATTGCATTTTTAACACAAAAGCTTAGATGCCTGGACCTTTACCTCCTTGAATGGTTGTCAAGGTGACAACTTGACTACAGATTAAAATTGATGCTTTGCCAATTTGACCTTTGCAAAAAGCATCAATTGAAAATATGTTCTTCTAGTGATTTGTAACTTTTGGGTGATATCGTAGAAAATGTTTTTCAATCTGTGAAAAGAAGATAAGCCCAAGACTGGTGCATTGTGGCTGATTCATTCCACTCAGGCGTTATTCCCTAAACTTGACACTCGATGCTGCGCATCTACACCCTATGCAGACAGAGCCTGTGGGAAATATTGGGTGCGGAGCAAATGAGCGGAGGGTGCGGAGCTAACGGTCATTTTTGAATTTAAATTTGGGATATTTCTGAAACTAAGCCGTTTTGGGACTTCAAATATACCAAGATATGTGTATTTGACACCAAATATCAATACAATTGTGAAAATAGTAGCGCAATTCATTCTATAGCGACGCAGTGTGCCTTAAACCTTTCCCAGACCTATATATTTTGAAATTATCCTTTTAATACTGAGTCCCCAGCATTCATAAAAAATGGTGTTCAAGGTGCACTATCTATACAAATTATTTTTGCATCTTGGAAGCCAGGCAGTATCTGTGTGATTTTATAAAAATTCGGAAATCTTTTCAGATATGAGCCCCCTCTAAATATTGGGTGCGGAGCAGCTCCATAAACGTAGCTCCGCACCCAATATTTAGAGGGGCTCATATCTGAAGAACATTTCCGAATTTTTATAAAATCACACAGATACTGCCTGGCTTCCAAGATGCTAAAATAATTTGCATGGGTAGTGTATCTTGAACACCATTTTTTATGAATGCTGGGGACGCAGTATTAAAAGGATAGTCTCAAAATATATAGGTCTGGGAAATGTTTAAGGCATACTGCGTCGCTATAAAATGAATTGCACTACTATTTTCACAATTTTATTGATATTTGGTGTCAAATACACATATCTTGGTATATTTGAAGTCCCAAAACGGCTTAGTTTCAGAAATATCCCAATTTTAAATTCAAAAATGACCGTTAGCTCCGCACCCTCCGCTCATTTGCGCCGCACCCAATATTTCCCACAGGCTCTGTCTGCATAGGGTCTAGTGCAAAGGTTGAAATAACACCTTTTTGAGAAATGATTCAGTCTACATTGCACCGAGTCCAAAGTTTAAATCCCTAAACAATTTAGGCTCCTTTGAAAAAAGATTTGCTAGAAATCCATTTTAATCCAGTGACATGACATGACATGACGTTACAGCCGACGATGTGTGTGCAAAACGTTTTCTAGACACTTTTTCGTACATGCATTCACACAAGGGAAGCTATCGATGGCTATTGCAGACGTTCTATTGTGTAGTTCTTCGCAGATTTATATCCATGGGAAATGGAGGTTTTCCGTGAGTTGCAACGAGTTCAATGGGGGGGGCTAAGGTTGCCAAACTTGTGGAGGGTAGTGTAACAGCTCACCAGCATCTTATTCAACAACAGCGTGTTAGAAAGGGGAAACCTTATATGAACATCTGTCTTTTTATCAATTGTTTTATTGATTCACTGGGGAATGGACTCATAACATATTTCATTGCTATAAATAAAACTGCTTCTGGTGGTATAGTAAACAATCCACGTGACATCAAACAATGTAAAGTATTCATAACATTGTTTTACCACTGGCAACTTTTAACCCAGTATCAGTTGTATGAGGAGGTTTATATAAATGATCAATTAAAAAAAGAGAAAAAAATCAACTTGATCACTTGTGATCTCAATCTTTGTGAGTTTGCATGTTCAGTGATTTGATTGGTTAAAAATGTAAAAACCGGAGGAGAAGTTCACTTTCGCATCAAATCTAAATAATGCGTTCCGTATGATCAGCATTAAAAAATAACATGGTTAGTATCGCGGGACCCCTACGTTATATGCCACTGTGTTAAGTTAATATCATCAATTATCGATACAGGTTGATTATCCAACACGTGTCTTGTTTACACGTTGTCTAGTAAAAGAAAGTATTGTATTTATTGAATTATAAATTGATTGTCCTTACTTGACTCGAAAACGAATGAGTCAAAACAAATTGTTCATTATTTCTAAAATAAAATTATACATTAACTAACTCATTGAGCATTTGGAAACGGTTCAAACTGACACTAGCCGGTAAGAAACAATACAGCAAGAGATCCTAAGGTCAAATTGTGCTTCGGTTAGCGACATTTATACATCCGCCGAGGATGCCCCCGGGTCAACACTTCCGCGGTTAATTTGTATCATCACTGGTCAATATGGCGGACGAGACTTTTAAGTTTTCATCGAATTAAACTACTTTATCGTTGACGTAATGCCATAACGGAGACACACAACCATTAGATCCTTCCGCCGAGTGGATGATGGCATTACAAAAACAAAAATATAGTCCAATTATTGTAATTACATTAGCATCACCAGTGGTTGGATTTTGGTAAGTACATAAATGAAAAAGTGTATGTATGGACCAACTCTAAGACATAATTTGATGTGATTAGGTGCATTTTCTTTAATAATTTGACCTTTTTGACCTGCCTCCATCTGTCAAAATCAGAATGACATTTTTTGACATTTTCTATAGATGGCGTATTCAACAGGTGAGATCTTTTGATTTTCGTGGGGAGTTTTGATTCAAACTTTTTTGACTGACAGAGGACATACTGGGGTATGATGGAATGATAGCAAAACATGTCCACAAATCTTAGTTTTCTCTGGAAGACAGATCGTTTGTATGGGAATACGCATGTTATAACAATTAGTTGGGTCAGCCCAACCTGCGCTGGATACTGACCAGTGCAAATGGGATTAAATGGATAAAAAACTCTTTATATGTGGTAGATTAAATGCAAGATTTAACAAGAAGTAATTCATCTGAAAACATGAAAACACCCCGACCCCCCCCCCCCCCCCAAAACAGTTGCTAAAAATGTCAAAAACAAGTTATAAAAACTAAGAAGAGCATAATACTAGAAGTAAAACATTTCATTACACTATTTTAAAAAAAGATTGGTATCCAAGGCCATTCAAAAAAATATGATTAAATTTGATAAAAGACAGATAAAGAATGGAATATAGAGGGTGTACCCGAGATTATTATATGTGACCCTATCGTGCCTGAACCTCCACGGTTATTGCACCTTTGAGCTGATGTACTTGCATTATGTGTCTCGTAAAACCATGGCTAGCTTGTATTAGCCCGAGACTGACTTCACGAGTCATCGGTTTGACACTAACATCAAAACAAAGACAAGGTTTAGTCAATATACTATCAATTAATATTGAATTTAGATGGGATGAGTTCTTTCTTGCAAACCATAAGTCAATACATTTAATAAATATCGTAATATCGATCTCAATTAATTCCTTTATTCATTGGAACGAAAAAATATTTGTACGATCTTCTTAAAATTCGTCGTCAAAAAGCGGTAAGTGCAATTTTGTAACATTTATTTAGATTCGAAAAATGAACGTTTTATGATTTGCTTTTACATTTGATATATATAGCTAACCAGTTCAAAATTGACATACTTCCGTTGTGCTTTGAATGGCACTAAACGTGTGCAGCTTTTCTGACCTCATGAACTAAATAATTGAGTGAAGGGGGCAAAAGTCTTGTTAAACTTGTTGTCTGTAAGCGAAATCCATTATTATAATATGAACACTTTTCAAATGTTAAGATTATTGAATAAGATAAAAGAGATGACCGCATCCCGGAATATTAAGGATGCCCATTCACGTTTGATTCCAGGTCGAGGAGTTAACATTTAGAACGAGTAGTTAAAAAAAATCTTTAAATTCTCGACCATTAGATGTCCCCCACTTAAAGGAATATTCCTTGCCAAACCATCTCTCTCCTCATATGGTAGCTATAACCATGTATATACTTGCCATGTTTAGCAAAACCCGCAAAAATGTTTTGATATGGTCAAATTTGATCACTTAGAAATGTGATGCTCAATTCCATGTGATGCTCAATTCCAGTAAGCTGCCATCTTTTAAAATTTCACACAGGAAGTGATGTCATCGACTCTCAACTTTGCATAAAGCATTAGGTGAGGAGCTATTAAGAATTACAAAACCAGCTAAATATTCTTTTTCAACTTTGTATCTTATTTAATCCTTCTGAAAATCTCTTATTTTATTCTAAGTTGACAAGCCCTGAAAATATTTTGCACAGAAAGTAATGATCACTTGTCTTGTCTGTTATGGGCAAGGTTATAGAAGTTGAGAGTTGATGACATCATTTCCTGCAAGAAATCTTAAAAGATGGCAGCTCACTGGAAATAAGCACTCGATTTTTAAATGATCAATATTGACCATATTTAAACATTTTCCCATGTTTTGCTAAATATGGAAACTATATATATGATTTTAGCCACCATATCAAGAGAGAAAGGGTCTGGCAAGGAATATTCCTTTAAAGGTCTTTATTTACATAAACGTAACGAAGGCTCTATGGGTAAGGGTATTGTCTCAAAACTGGATCTCGCCATTGACCAGTTCAGTTCTCGTATCCGTGTGATTGTGAAGGTGAAAGGCGGATGCATAGAACATTTGTTTAATAAATAATTAATACAGTGTAACAATATAACCATAGTGACTTAGATACTGATATAAAACTATACTAGACATTGGTTAAACAGTTATCAAAGATTGTAGCAGATATAGTAAACATAATGAATGTGTTATTGTTGATCACATAAAATCATAAAAGTCGGATTTTCTAGGAAAATGGTAAATCTCGGACAAATGAATAATTTAACATTTAATATTCAAACATCTGACAAAAAAATTGAAGTCAGTATTAGCTGAAGTATTTGAATGGTAAAATATGCCTATCCTTAAGTTTCTGTAAAAAAAATTCATGCCAATACCATAATGTTATGATACTTTTTTTCTTTCTAAAAAGGTTGCGAAATTTTTTGGCCCACCCTGTAGGTCATATATGGCATTCTGCCCGCTGGTAAACCAGAAGCCCGAACAGGGACTCGAACCTTGGACCCTCAGATTAAAAGTCAGATGCTCTACCGGCTGAGCGATCTGGGCTGCTCGATATTCGAAGTGTTATATTTTGTATCTCTATACCACTGGGGGGTATCGTGATGCAACAACACCGTGTTGTTGCATCAAGATGGCCAGACTTCCGGTGATAGATTTTCGTACGATGTTTTGTTTTTCCAATTAACACCCATTTCTAGGACGAGTTGCTCAATAATCATACACATGCAGTTAGCGCATGATCTATATTTTAAAAAACTGTCATTGGTATACATGTAGCATCATCAAGAAGCGATAAATTCGTGGTTTTAATTCCTCACTATTGATGCAACAACACCACTCTGTTTCTTATCGATGATGCAACAACACCAATGTGCTGATGCAAAAACGCCAATATAATGTATCATTGGACAACAAGAGAAACTGTTTTATGTTCTGTTTAGAGGTGTAGGTCGGGACATGAATAAAACGCGTGAGTCAGTGGTCCATGAACGAAACGTATTTTGTTTGGTTTCTTTGTCTATATCAAAGTTAAAAGGATATACAAGGCAAACTAAATAAAGTACAGAATCCCCGGGAGGCAATCTCATTGATATTGTATCTGAAAAATAAAGATTATACATTTTCTAAATTAAATGCCCTTGATTTATCGTATGGAAATTGCTTACAAATAACTAATATAATTTTGGAAAGACAACAGATATCAGTCATTTTGTGTTATTAGTACCTCAATTGAAATGCTCAATTCTGATTGGTTGATTAGCGGTTAAAATTATGTACTGTTGACCACTACTAGGTACTGTTGACCGCTACTTCTGAAAAAAAGTTTCATGACGTCACAAAAAAACATGGAAGACGGACATTTTGTAAACGTTAGTGAAAATGACTTTACTAGGCGACAAGTATAGCAAAAATACAAATAGAAACTTAAAATTAACATTAATTCACTAACGAGTACGCCGTGATGTGCCAAATACAGAGTTAAGCTACTTGCACTGTCTCCAGATTTTCTAAAAAAATATTGCTAACGTGGTTCGGAGAAAAGGTTGTGAAATGAAGCCATGCCGATTAATGATTGTCGTCTATATGTGTATTATTAGTTTACTCAGACTAACAAAACAATTGTAGACCTCTCCATTCGATCAACCGTCAAAATCATATACCTCGACTGTAAACCTCGACCTTCGGTCTCTGTCAACAGTAGTTTTTCGTATACAGTCTCGGTATACAATTTTGCCGGTTGACCTCTGGACTGGGGAGGTCAACAATTGTAAACTGTTGACCACTTCTAGGTACTGTTGACCCCTATTTTGAAAAATTGTTTTTTAATGTTGAATTTTTTTTTAATTTTGAAAAAATAAGTTGTGTAAAAAATTACAAGTATTCGACGGCTTGGAGATACCTTTACTTATCAAATATGTTCACGTGACATTCGATTATATATTCGTCCAATTATTATATTATTTGGACTAACAGAACAATTGTTAACCTCTCTTTTCGGTCAACTGGCAAAAGTTTCCTCGACCTCTGGTCTTGATCAACAGTACTTTCAAGGTTTACAGTATCGGTATACAATTTTGCCAGTTGACCTTAAGAGAGGTCTACAATTGTATAATTTATATCCTTCAAATTATGATATTCTTCGGACTAACAAACAATTGTCAACCTCTCTATTCGGTCAACTGGCCAAAGTGTATACCTCAACAGTAAACCCTGAGAGTACTGTTGACCTCGACCTCCGAACTTTCAAGGATTACAGTATTGGTATACAGTTTTGCCAGTTGACCTCAATTGTATATTGTATATCCTTTGTTATCTCACCCAAAGTATGATGTCATGTATCAAGTTGAAGAGTTGTATACGCTGCTCAGGAGTTTACGCTATCCAGGAGTTGTACATCGTTCTCAAGAGTTGTGTAGGAAGAGTGTTGGTTTAATGATATTGCAGTTATACCGCAATGCTATTATATAAAGGTTATTTACTGAGAGGGATTCAATATTGGTTTTATTCCGAGAGACAATATGATATTTCCCGAGGGTCCGGGATATCTGGGATAACTGTACCCCTATCAATTTACCTTTTTGGGCCCTTAATCTTATCACTTTTGTTTACCTTTTTACTCAGTCGGAGAGAAGGAATCCAAATAGAGCAATAATAGTCGCGTGCGTCGTGCAAGATTTCCATTAAACGTGTAACTAAACGGCCTCTCTAATAAAGTCAATTAGACGTTTTTACACGTTGGCTCTCCAAATTGGAGGAGATAAAGAATCATATCATATTATATCATAGATGAAGCAATCATCCCATCAACATAAGCTCACGAATGTCACAGTTAAACTGTTTTAGTTATAATTTGATAAACAGTGGTAACGTACATCTACTAGTTCATCACCTTTCCACAGATGGATGACAGATAATTTCCAATAGCTCATCATGTTTACCGAGAACGAAAGATGTTTGTCCACCATTTTGAATGATACTAACATCAAGCTATGGAACAGTGGTTTATGAAAATAGATTGGGTTACTAAAGCTTGCCATGTTAAAGGCGATTGAACTATGTTATAGAACAACGTCCAGTACATTATAATATTTAAAACTATAAATTTTTGGAAATACATATAAAGGATCTTCGCCCGCAGGACGTGTATTTTGAATGCCTTGAGAAGAACGCAAATATGGGTAATGGGTAACGGTGTTGCAATAGTAGCATTTAAAAATCTGTTCCTCTCGAGATTTATGGTCTTCTGAAATTATACTATTAATTGGTGTTGCTGCATCATTGCTCAAATCTAGAGGGGTGTTGTTGCATCTTCGGTTTGGTGTTGTTGCATCAATAGTGAGGAACTAAAACCGTGAACTTATTGCTTCTTGGTGATGGTACATGTATACTAATGACAGTTTCTTTAAATATAGATCGTGCGCTAACTGCATGTGTATGGTTATTGAGCAACTCGTCCTAGAAATGGGTTTAATTGGGGAAACAAAATATCGTACGAAAATCTATCACCGGAAGTCTGGCCATCTTGATGCAACAACACGGTGTTGTTGCATCACGATACTCCCCAGTGTATACGGAACCGTAATATTACAGTAGTTCGACACACGAGAAGGAATAAATAGGTGAGAAAGGTACACTTAGGTGTAATTTTACTCGGTAGCCTGTGATCGTTTTTACTCTGTGTCCTTACCTAAAACAGGCTCATCGGATTCCCAGTACATTGGAGAACATCCAATTCTTATAAATAAAATGACATAATCAATCTAGTTTTTTCTATGCTATAGGATAGCACAATCAAGACTCCTCTGGATTTTTTTGTATATTGAGTTTCACCACATATATACCCATCTACTTACCAAAGAAGAAGTCCCAAATCCCCTCTTTCAGTGTTAATCTTGCGATTGTGCTGGCCGATCTAATTATTTTCGAAGAAATAAATTCAATCTGAAGTTTGAATATTCCGGGAAAGTCCTCCTGTTATCTGATTGGTCGTTGAATTTGTTTATCATAAACCTGATTGGCTCCCTGGTTCAAGGCGCTTGTGGGCGCTTGTGTGACTCAATGGGGATTCCCCTCGAAAGCAGAGGAATAGATTGTGTTTAATTCGGTAGTTTGGTTGTTCTGTTGATTATTTCCGAATTTCGGCAATAATATACCCAAAAGTTATTCTCAAGATATATCCATGGTATGTGAGATATTATATATGCAATAACAATAGGACATCATTGATTGTCTGGGGGAGAAACCTATGGCTTAATGCATCTTTAAGCACGGAATTTTTTTCAGGAAATACACGAATCGAGTTATAATTCTTTTTATTTACCATTTCATTGACATGATATGCAAAGTGCTTAACCCCACACTAAAGAAAAAACTAGATGGATTATGTCATTTTATAAGAATTGGATGTTCTCCAGTGTAGGCTACTGGGAATCTGATGAGCCTGTTTTAGGTAAGGGTACACTGTAAAACGATCACAGGCTACCGAGCAAAATTACACCTAAGTGTACCTCTCTCATACAGCCTACAATCTGCAAATTTTAGCTTAAAAGTGATCGATAAAAAAAATGAAATTTTTGAAATACTAGGCGAAATATAAAATGTACTGGACGCAAGCCTGTTTTAGTACCTGATGGCTTGCGTCCGGTGCATTTTCATTTCGTCCGGTATTTCTTTAAATTTTGTCATTTTTCTATTTTAGATCATTTCAAAGCTAAAGCCGACTGGAAGCTGTATTCTTATTCCATACACGAAAAATTGAAATGGTAAATAAAAAAGAAATCTGACTCGATTTGTGTATTTCCTGGAAAAAATCAAAGTATTTCCGTGCTTAACCCCACATTGCAAAGAATCTAGATGAAACACTGTATTTACGATCACAGGCTATTGAGTAAAATCACACCTTACCTCTCTCTGTATCAAAAATGGAGGTGTGCGTCCAGTACACGTATATCGGTTTGTACCATACAAAAATACTGGACGCTTTACCCCCTGTGAATACAAGTTTTGTTTATCTTAACATAAATAGATGGTCTTGGTCGTACTATCGTTACGCTGGGGACCCTAGGGGTTATTGATTTCCCACCCCTTTGTTGGCACACAATTATCTATATTAATTAGTATAAGTATACAAATAGTGACCATTGAGGACAATACAGTAAGAGCGTAAATTATTTCCCCGAGGGAATATCCTCTAAAATGTACTAAATGTACTAAAAAAATGTACTAATAGTACGTTGTAGAGGATATTCCCAAGGGGAAATCATTTACGCTATTTCTCGAAATAAGGCAGTCACTATTTGTTTTATTATACCACGGACCTGAAGATGTGATGTCACAATTGCTAGTACAATTGATTTATTGGTCTATATTGGAGTATGTATGACCGCTAAAAATCATAAATGCAAATAGTTGTGTTTCTTGTCTTTTTATCATGAATAAACGCACGGAGCCCACCGCGTCTCGAACTCGCAACCTCGTGGTTACGGCGCCCAATCGTAACAAAGACCTCGATTTTATGATTTATGGCGTAATATATGACCGAAAATTTTATTCTGTTCATTGTTAAAAGACCGAAACGCGTAGCGATTGAGGTCTTTGGCAATGGCCAGAATAAAATTTGAGGTCATATATTTGACATAAATCATAAAATCGATGTCTTTGTTACGATTCTAATATGATAAATAGACAACTATTTGCATTGATGAATTTTAGCGGTCGTACATACTCCAATATAGACCAGTTAATCAATTGCCCTAGTTATTGTGACGTCACGTATCATATTAGAGTATTAAATAAAAGGCGTTAAATTAAGCTTTCTGTCTTACGGTGTAATCATGGTGTCCGTTATCGTGGCCACGGTTGTCTTGATTGTTGGACGTATCTTGTGGCATGTTTTCCTAAAACCGTGACTCCGATAAGGCGCTACTCGCCGGATTTTCTTATTTGTGCAGCTCTTAGCATAGTTGTTAGTATTAACTTCTGTTTATATTTATTGAGGACCATCTTGAAAATGTTGACGACCACGTTAGTCCGGTATGCTAGATGTTTGTCTCTTTTTCTTGTCACTGCGGTTTCAGAAAAATCGCGGGCCCAAAATCGCGTTAGACTGAATTACTGGCACATGTCAAGTTCCAGAAGTAATTAGCTACAAGAAACCGATATTATGCAATATTACAAGTTATTGAATGATTTTAAGTGCAATGGATATATTCTGCTCGAGAATTCCGTATTGGAACGAGACGTAGTCGAGTGCCCGCAATACATAATATCGAGCAGAATATATCCTGTGTTGCACTTCAAATCATTCTATAACGTTTTTATCGTATGTTTTTCTGTATTGCTACTGAGAATGTCCCCTCCGTACCAATACTTTCCGTATTGCTACGGAGATGATCAATGGGGACAGTCTCAGTTGCAATACAGATCGGTACAGCACAATAACTGACCAATCAGAAGGTTTCATTTTACAGATCATACGATAATTGTCAATATTGTATTTTTATGTCAGCAGATTTAACGTTCAGTTGCACTTTTTCAGCTCTTTTGTTACAAATGCCTTTCTATGCCTAAGTATGGCATCTGGGTTTCGGTAAAATGTATTCGATAAATTTTCATTAAAGAGATAATAATCAATAGATTAATGAGTAATATTGACATGAACAGGTTTGATTTACCAGAAGTCACCGTTCGGAAAGGACACAAATAGAGGTCGTCATGGATATTGATAAGTCACGACTCTCATTTGCAATGCTTCATTTGGCCAATAGCATAGGAAAATCATATAAGAAGAGAAGGCAGTTCATAGTTCATAGATATCAGCACACCATTACATCTTCCACATCAATCGTTTTGCAACTTTATACATCGACAGTCGTTTTGATTTGCATTAAAATATCTAAATATGTTCTTCTATGAGGTTTTAAAGTCTAAACAAAAATCAAAATGGCCGCCATCTGTGTTGCGGAAAAACAGTATTGAAGCTAAGTGCGGTAATTATTGCTTCCATATGCATCTAAATGTATGTAGGTATGCTCTCATATGTAATAACAGCAAGGTATGGAAATCAAAATGGCTGTCAAATAAACTGAAATCACTACATCATGTTGGCCCAGTGGGCATGGTACTTTTTATTATTTCACCGAAGAACTTACAATGTGCAAGTTAAAGTGGAGAAAACACCCCAGAATTCCTAAATGAACCCATTTCCATGAATGATGAACCTCTATTTAAGACTTCTAGGGTATTCCTCTCTTTCTTTGTTGCAAGATCTCAAAATGCAAGATGATCAACGATGCAAGTCCTATATCTTCGTTTTTCAGGTTAAATATGCAATTGTCTGTAAGTCCCATATACTTCAGCTACAGTATATAAAATATGCTAATATATATTTAGTGTATAAACAAGTTTTCGTGTTCATTTCAGCTTAAATATGCAGTACAATGCACATGCTCTTATTCTTGGATTGGTCGTTATACCGGGAGCTCTGCGTGTACAAGCTCAGAGTAAGTAATCAAGCTTTCTTTACAGACCGATCTTCAAAGCCTCGCTGAAAGTTGCTGAAAAAGTCGCTTAATTTAAACTGGGTTCCAATTCATGAATCTTTGAGAAAAATTAAATTTTGATTTTCACCCCACCAGAAAATGTGATGATATTTCAAAAAATGTGTCAAAAGTAATTTTTCATATATTTCATGAATATACCATATTCAATATCAACTTTGTCACACTTTACCTTTAGAAGAAATTAACATAATCACCAGATCTGAACTGAAACGCAACGATTTACATTTTACCAATTGCATATGCGTTCTAGGCAAGTGTGGCTTGGACATAATGTGGGCACTTGATACATCGTGTAGTATAGCTGTTGAAGATGGAATAAAGGTCCGAGATTTTATTGTCAAGATGATCAAAGATTTCAGGATTGGACCAGGTCCTGACGAGACTCAGGTACATTTTTGTAAGGATACCCGAACTGTGACAATATGACAAGTCTAGCTTTACACTGGCTCGCTTGCATACAAAGTAATAGTAAAGAATGAAATTATTATTATACAAGATCGGGTGACCCAAAAAAAGTGAATCGCTCTTTTGACAATTATTTTCTCAGCAATTGATTTCTTTATTGAAAATGTCTATAAGTAGCCCTAGGTTATCATTAGCAGGTTTTATAAATATGAAAGAATACGAATTTGAGAAATGACAATATCAAAATATTAAAAAAACAATATCAGAGTTCCACAAAGATACCTTCTACATCGTTTGTGCTTGTCTGCAATATCATAAAATTGCGGTGCATAATTGTCCGCGAATCGCAATTTGAATTTCGAAAACGGATGGTCTATATATAGCATGAAATTCTTTTGGGACCATATCTTAATTAGTTTTGTAGACATAATCTCCCTTATGTTACTTTAACCTACTTTTGACCTCATTTGACCACTTTTTGAGCTTTTAATACACCTAACTCGAGAGTTTTTAAAACCTGTAATACGGTACCTTAGATTTACTGTTACCTCTTTAACTCTGGAAACACTAGGGGATTATTTGACCCCACCCTGCCTGGAAGTGATATGAAAAATACGTTCCCATCATTTGGGTTACATTTTCCTCAAATGAAATGGAAATTATCGGAATTTTTACAAAATAAACAAGGCAATGAATGATATCAGCCAAAAAAACATTCGAACAGCAACAATTTTTTGTTAAGGTTGCTCGCTACATTAAATAAAACAATGATTGTTAATTTATAAAATACTTGCAGATAGGGGTTGTTAACTTCAACAAAGGGACGCAACATCAATTTTATTTAAAAGACTCAGTAGATGATGCTACTGCCGTAGAACTCGCCGAAAATATTGATCTTTCAAATCTTAGATTCAAAAACAACAGTGGTTGCAAAACACATACGTTCAAAGCTCTTGATGAAATCAGGAACATCTACTTCACACCTAAGAATGGGGATAGAAGAAACGTTCCAAATGTTGTTATAGTTGTTACAGACGGTGTCACAGTTCAGCCTAAGTATCAGCCTGACACTATTGCCAATGCAAAGTTGCTGCATGAAGATGGGTAAGATAGCACTAGCCATAGATATAGGATTTTATTAGTACTGATGCCCTTTTAGGGCCAAACGTACATCCGATATACAATTTTCAATAACAGTAAATATTGTATATGCATACAATTATGAACATCATTTTTGAGATGTTGAACATGTTTTTATTGACTTGTTATATGGTGGTGGGCCAAAAACGCCACTTTTTAAACTTTTTTAATTTTTGATACAAAATCATAATTTGCATACCAAAATGAAGCTTGGGGTTGTTATCGAGCCATGGATCATGAATTATACACTTTTACATAAATAAAATATGTCACTAGGGTCTCACATAAACATGTGGTGTGCCATGAGAAATACCATACTTTGCAAAATGTAGTCCTGAACTGATATGGCCTAATGACCGCCAAGCTAGTAGCCCTGATGCAAACCCCAGTGAGTATAGGGTATGGCAAGGTCTCCAGGAGATTGAATGAAGGCACCCAATCTAGAAAATTGCTGGCAATTAAGACAAGTTGAAAAAAAAACAGCTAACATTTCATCGATACTGCTATATTATCAGTAAGGCGACTAAAACTAAAATCTATCATCAAATAGGGTGGCGAACCAATTGAACTCCTCTTTTAGATCAAATATAATCCAAATTGGAGGACTTGTTATATTATATTATTACTAAGAACTCCTGGCAGTATTTAACTGTAAAAGGGGTATGTTGGTTGGGAAATAAAAAAAGTTATAGTGTCTTGAAAAAAGTAGCGTTTTTGGCCCACCCTGTATGATCATTCCTACTATCACACCTACTAAGTTCTCACTACGTTCTCGAAAATGGACTCAAAACTATGTACACACGGATTGGACGTACTTAGAACCGTTTTTGGTCCATTTACAAACTTTATGGACGTACTCGAACAGGATCGGTCCTCCAGAACTTAAGTATTCTCAAAATTGTCTGATTGTCGTCACGTTCTCTAATTAAAACCAGTGACTTACCCCCCTATCACACCAAACTCGTTCTTACCCGTTCTTGCCAGTCCTACGAAAACGTCGTAAAACGGGCTCAAACTGGCCGTGGTCGGGAAATATGTCTGAAATAATTAGCTTCTTCGTTCTTAAACAGTCTTCAATACGTCCATCTCGTTCGCAGTTTGTTCAGGTCGCACCACGTCGGTGTGCAACGCCGTAGAACGCGTCCCTTAGTCTAGAAGGTCATCATGACCTGATAACAGAACGGTATGGTCGCAACCGAATTTTGAATCGATTCAAAATTCTAAAATCACATTCCCGTCTGAGAACGTTCATAAAGTTCGTAAATAGACCTTAGAAAGTTGCAGCTACGTTCATTCCGTTCGCACACAGTTTAGAACCAGTTTTGAAGAACGCAGTGGCAACTTGTTTGGTGTGATAGCTATATTTTTGCTAACTCAATCATAAGCAGTGTTAAATACGTTCTTAATCAGTTTAAACCCGTTTGCAATGAGTTCTACCTCGTTCTCAACACGTCCTCAGACAGTTCCACTCGTTGTTAAAACGTCCCTAGTAGGATTGAAGTACAACGGTTCCGTTCGTAGTACGTCCAGCTCGTCGTTAGTACGTTGTTACTCGTTCTAATTGTAGAACGTGACGACCACGAAAACATTTTGAGCATTGTCTAAGTTCTAGAGGACCTACCCGTTCGAGTACGTTCGATGAAGTTTGTAAATAGATCCCAAACGGTTCTTAGTAGGTCCAGTCCGTTCGTACACAGTTGAAGCCCGTTTTCGAGAACGTAGTGAGAACTAGTTTGGTGTGATAGTAGGGTTAAGAAGAGCTGGACGACAGGTACTACGAACGGAACTGTCGCACTTCAACCTAGTAGGGACGTTTATAGAATTATAGAACCACGAATTATAAAAAATGTTAATGTTGTATTTTAGCTGAAGCATATATTTATCATGGCAAGTTAGGAATAAATACATTTATTCGTAGTGCTGGTGTGGTTGTCGTTGCCCTCCCGAGCCAGAGTGGAGGAAATGGGACATTCGAGTTTTTCTCCGTGGCGTCAGATGCGCGAAACGTATTCACAATTGACAAGTTCGATAATCTGGAGACGTTTATATTTGACATCTCAGCTGCTGTGTGTAGAGGTACGTCATTTATTAATTCAAATGGATTAGGAATGATATATTTCTGGTAACCTGGGTCACAATGGCCATTTTTTTAACATATTATTTATTTCCTTCATAATCAGAAAATACACAAAATATCTACTACCAATCGCCATAGGCATTCTAGGTAGTTTAAATTACAATAGAGGATTAATTACATTTATCATAGATGGTTGTTGGTAATGTGAGAGGTTGGGAGGGAGGGGGGGGGGTTGTTACAAGATACAAATGAGAATAACATTAATTTGATGGAAACTTATAACAGGCCTGTACAAATTGCATCACTAGTCAGCCAGGCCTTACAGTACTGGCCTGATATTTGATCCAGCTAGTCTGTGGTTTAGATAGTAATCATATGATAACACTTTGCAAAACTGGATTGTAAAGGAGGGCGAGTTGTTTGTAGAATGAATCGGGGGATTTTTTTCATGAATTTCGCTTATGTTTTTCATCCAAAAAACATCAATACACTTTAAAACATTTTGTTTACTTTAAGATTACACCATGTAATCCAAAAATATATTTCTCATTTTCAAAGATAATCCATGGATTAACACCCAGGTATTTTTATTTTTCAATCTTCAGAGGGCTGGGAATCATTGATGCTCAACGCTTTTGAATATGATAAATGCTGTTTTAAATAGGTTTTACGTATGCCAATAATTTCTCAAATTATGTAAGCTGAATGCATTCCTTAATCCCTAGAATGCCTATCATAATAACATTCTTTTGTCTTGGCCACTTAATATGTTTTGTTGCTGTCTGATCATCAAATCAAATTGTTGTTATTTAAAGACGCAGTCAAATCTGGTGAAACAGCACAACATTTACCTAAATAGCACGAGTACATATTATGTAACTCATTCATAATATTTCATGCATCAGGTATTAAGGCTTAGGGGATTAACTTTTACACATAAACTGAACTGACAGATGTGTACGCTTACATGTACAACTTCCAGGATTGTAAGAATTCAAAACTTGTTGATAGCCATATTTTCCTGAATGTGACATCGAGATATTATGGCATTTATGAGTGGTAAAACATGAAAAAAAGCATTTTCATTTAAAATTAGCATATGATTTGAATTGATGCCAAGAAATGTATTAGTTAACTGTATCCGTTTTACATCCATTGCAGTTGGCTACATTATAAGACAAGGCATTCACATGCAAAATGTCAATACCTGCCATTTGTTACAGACACCAACTGCCAAACACCAACTGCAAAATGATAAACACCAACCACTGAACACCGTCCACAAAAAAGTTTGAGACCATAACAATATGTCACCACTTGTGGTGGTGACATAAAAATGATCATGGAAAATTGTATTTTTTTTAAAAAGTAGGAACTTCTGAGGTTATTAGAAAATTGGAAGACAAGGAAGGATTCTGGGAAGGATATTAGGGTTATAAATTGCAATGAAACTAAAACAAAACATTCATCAAACATTTCTCAAATATCACAGTGTATATTCAAATCACAAATACAATATCATACAATTACAATAAGGGTCTAGTGCACTTTCCATTATGATATCCCCATGAACAAAATGAATCATTTTTAGGTGTAACATAAAGAATACAATGTCACATAATACTGTGGAAAATATTTGAGCGTTTGGACCCACATGGGCTGAGGTTGAGGTCATTTAGTTCAGCAAGGGTGTATTGACTTGCCATTGAATGGGCTCCATTGACTTAACATGTGGATATCATCAATTCCAATAGAGGCCATTGGTTTCTATTGATTTTCACAAAAATACCTAAAATACACTATGACCTGAATCGATTGCAAATTAAATAATTTCACAGTATGACACAAATGGTATATCACATCAGATGTGCAAATATAAAGTTTGCAATCGATTCAGGTCATACTTCAAATTAAAAGATTATACATTTTTTCCATCATTTTTTTCCTACAAAATGGCTATAGAAAAATGCTTCAAAAGCAACTTTTACACTAATGAAATCCCATACAACTTTCTAAATCCAAAGGTTATACTGTTACGTTTCATTAATTAAAAACATATTTGGATAATATGTTGGGATGTGTAGGATGCAAATGGATTTTGACAGACACAAAAAGACTTCTTGGTTTGGCATCTCTACCCCTGTACACTTTATGATTGAATATTGGCCCTAATAAGTGGCCCATTCATCAATACAGTGCTGAATATAGGTCAACAAGATACTAGTGTACATATAAATGTAATAATACCTATAGCTAGGTCTGAATATTAAACTCCAGCCAAATAGAGCCACCACAATATTTCAACCTTTGTAACCCTTGCAAAAAGATTTTCTTGCAATAAAAAATGTGAAAATAGCTTAGGGTACTTGTAAGCCAATCTGATTTTAAAGAGACTCTATTGAGACTTCTCTGTGGCATTTTTTCTTTATTCCTTTTTGTTTTGAATTTTTAACACCATAACATTAACTAACTACTCAATATGCAACTTTTCACCGCGTAGAATTTTAAAATATTAAGTTTGAAAATTTTTATAATGGAGCTCAATGGGAAAAACTACATGATTTGAATTATTTTCAAACGTAGCGGCGCGATTTTGATAAAATTGACAGATATAATAAATATTGGTAAGACAAAATGTTTGATGAAAAATGAAGAAAATTCACCGTCCTGTTTACGCAAACTATAGAAAAATCTGAAATAATCATAAAAACCTGTAAAAATAGATTGAAGGGGGTGATATTCATTTTTAATGTGCCTTTCACTACTACAGGGTAACCATAATTTTGGTACTGATTTGATTTTTCAATGAAAATCATTTCTATAGTGTATAGTCAGTTTAAATAATACAATTGGTATATTTCTTTACTGAACAGTGCAATCATTTATTTATTTATCAACAGTAATGCAAACTACATATTATACAGTTAGTAAAATATCAAAATAATTCTATTAAAATTTAAGCATTGCCAGAATGTGTTGACAGCTGGCAAAAAATTGAAGAATTTGAAGAAAAATAGCCACCCAAAGACACTTACACCTGCTAACTGCCACTTTGCAAAGAGTTTATTCAAGCAAGAAAACTATTTGAAAAAACGTAATTTCGGGTTGAACATGGTACCCACCACTCTGGTTACCTTAGCAACCATCTCTCAAGAACCAATCAAAATTGAGGTCCCAAAGGACCTTATACACCCTCCATTGGGATCTCCCCATGAGAAAAAAAATAATTCATCTGATTTTTCAAAATGAGTATTCTGCTTTAATTATTACATTTATATGCACACTAGTATCTTGTTGACCTATATTCAGCACTGTATTGATGTATAGGCCACTTATTAGGGTCATAATTCAATCATGAAGTGTAGAGGCATATGATTCCAAACCAGGAAGTATTTTTGTGTCTGTCAAAATCCATTTGCATCCTACGCATCCCTACAGCTTATCCAAATATGTTACTACATAATGAAATAAAATAGTATATTCTTTGGTTTTACAAAGTTGTATGATTTTTGATAAGTGTAAAAGTTGTTTTTGGAGCATTTTTCTATAGCCATTTTGTAGGGAAAAAATGATGAAAAAATGTACAATCTTTTAATTTTAAGTATGACCTAAATCGATTGCAAACTTCATATTTGCACATTTGATGAGATAAACCATTAGTGCCATATTGTGAAATTATTAAGTTTGCAATCGATTCAGGTCATAGTGTATTTTTGGTATTTGATAATCAATAGAAACCAATGGCCTCTATTGGGATCTGCTGATATCCTCATGTTAAGTCAATGAAGCACAGCCCCATGTAAGGCAACACAACCTTACTAAACTAAATGACCCCTATCTCAGCCTATGTGTGCCCGAGCATTTTAATATTTTCCAAAGAGTTATATGACATTCTATTCTTCATGTTACACCTAACAATTATTCATTTTGACCATAGGGGTATTTGCCAATAATCGCACCTCTTCCTTTTAACATATAATGTATAAATGTATAACACATATGTGTACCAAGTTTCATTGTAAAAGTCCTATTTTCCTTTAAGTTATGGCATCAACTGCAAAACTTTTTGAACCACCTAAGTATATACCTTATTAGATGCAGTGAAGGAGTTAAATCATTGGGATATGAATAAATCATGCAAAACATATTTTGTACATATTTCTCATCATTTAGGGTTACCCAGTAGTTTACAAGCTGACCTTTGCAAAATATATTTCACTTACTATCCTCATTCGCTATCACGCTATCTAGTTTCTTTCTAAATTGGCCTGGATTGCCTGGTTTATTGGTTTTAGCGAACCGTCCATTTCGTCGAACCATCATTTTGCTAAAGTTGTTTGTGATGAATATACAATATTCAGTTACATATAACTGTACAGCAACTTTATGCAAGGGAAGGTAATTGTGTGAGAGCACATAAAGTACATGAAGTATTGACCCACTTGTCTCAGTGAATCTTATAAACAGTGCATAGAGTTTTTCTATGCAATGATTGGCTCACAGTTACTTATAGTGTAAGTTATTTCATTTCTATACAGTGTGGAATAGAGTGTATAAACTTTTACAGTTTCAAGCAGGTTTTAGTGTTTTCTGACCAATGATATATTCAGACTTATTCATTTCACGATTATGTAATACTGACCTACATATCTGTATAGCATTCAATAATTTTCATGATTATAAATACCAATAATCAATGAAAGGGACAATATTTTCACATTTGTAATTGTATGTGTATGCATGGTCCATGGTGTATGTTACCATAATTCTTTATATCCACTTAAAATGTCAAAAATATTGCCCAATTTATAATTATCAGATAATTTATTCATCACCAAAATTAGTAAAAATTATCAACATGCAGAACTTACTTAAAGAGTTTAATCTCTCACTCAGTCACAATCATGTCAACCAAAACTGTACTTGTGTTACATAATATAGGATTATACAGCTTACCATACGTGTGCAATCTATATAGCATCCACACTGACATCTTTAC